CATGGAGGAAGTATTTACAGTTTTATGATCATTATTACTACATGTTGTACTATATGAGATGATTCATAATTGTCAATGGTATTTATTAGCAAGTACTAATTGTAAACTAGCATCATTTTGAAAATCTATACCATCGGATTTAGCCATGTTAACATCTTTTTTTCAATAACAGCCGGTTCTGTACAAACAGATTTACCACTGGATCCAATAAACATTATCGCTATTTGTCCGCCATTACTGGACATCCCAAAAGTTCCCGTAAAATTTTGACGTCATAATAAAAAATATCTGACGCCACAATGGAAAAGTAAACATACGATACCGGAAATACCGGAAGTAACTTGCACCAAGGCACTGTTATGGGTTTTTTGCACGAGACGCCCCTGATATGGGTTATCAGCCCGGTTGGGAAATTATGGCTTGTGTACTTCCGTTCATTACACATATGCAAAAGCTATCATATTAATGCTAAGCATATGATAAATACAATTTATCAAGCTCTAGAACGTTCTGGGTCAATTAATTACACAACGATGTTCTATATACACAATATATCAAGCTCCAGAACGTCCCGGGTCTATTAATTACACAACGATATTCTATATATACAATATATAGAGCTCCAGAACGTTCCGGGTCTATCAATTACACAACGATGTTCTATATATACAATATATCAAGCTCCAGAACGTTCCGGGTCTATTAATTACACAACGATGTTCTATATATATACAATATATCAAGCTCCAGAACGTTCCGGGTCTATTAATTACACAACGATATTCTATAAAAACATTATATCAAGCTCCAGAACGTTCCGGGTCTATTAATTACACAACTATGTTCTATATATATACAATACATCAAGCTCCAGAACGTTCCGGGTTTATTAATTACACAACGATGTTCTATATATATACAATATATCAAGCTCCAAAAAGTTCCGGGTCTATTAATTACACAACGATGTTCTATATACATGTATATACAATATATCAAGCTCCGGAGCGTTCCGGATCTATAAGTTACACAACGATGTTCTATATATATACAATATATCAACCTCCAGAACGTTTTGGGTCTATTAATTACACAACGATGTTCTATATATAAACAATATATCAAGCTCTAGAACGGATTGGGTCTATTAATTACACAACGATGTTCTACATGTATATATACAGTGATCTGGAAGGATTTTTTCTCTATGGGCCCAGGGCCCCCCAAAAATAAATTCAATAGGCCATTTTTAGAATTAATTGGCCATTTTGTCAAATGAGTGGGCCATTCGTTTACAATAAAAAAAAAAATAAAAAAAGTGTATATTTCACTGTACTTACAAGTATGATTCTAATTAATATCATGGATATTGTTCCTGTGATTTTGTAATTTCAATTTCAATGAATATACAATAACTTCTTCCAAACCGGGCAATATTTACGATAACCTTTATTTACAATGTTAAAACTGGTACTGTTCCCTTGTTCATGTTCATGTTTTTTTTACATTAAATTTGGGTCTTCGTCGATACCATACTTATTCCAGACGTTCCGTATTAGAGGACGTTTCTGGCATTTCCTCTGCACTTGTATTATTATTACTTCATCACGATGACAAGAATAACAGTAGAGAGCAACGTTAATTGATAAGACACAACAACAATTCGTTGAAGGCATGTTTACAAAATGTCAAAACGAGCCAAAGACCAAAAAAATTGACAAGGACAGTTAAGCCCCTTTTATGGAGACAAATACTATGCTATTCATAAAAAGGCTTTTGGATTTTTCAATCGAAATAATAGCAAGCTTACTTAAAAGATTATAATTAGAGAAGAATTCTCGCCTGTACTAGCCAATTTTCACAAAGGAGTAGGTCCGGTAAGGGCCGATTTTGGCCTCAAATTTCAGGTTCATATGACGAAGGATTTTGGACACTTTTTGAACACTAAAGTGTCTATTTCAGTTGATTCTATTAGTTTATGTGAAAGATTTTAACTGATTTAGTCATTAAAAACGCTCCGATTCAAGCTTAAATATGAAAAATATATCAAATATGCCAAAAATGTCACTTTTCAGATGGTTTTTGTCAAAAATGAAAGTGGCCGCATCTGTGTTCATCCTCAACCTTTATATATGTTATGTATTATCATCAAATACAACTTACATTTCAATATTAAGAATGAACACAAATGCGGCCACTTTCATTTGAGACGGAAACCGTCTAAAATTTAACTAAAATGCTAAAATTGTGAAGATTTCAGTAATTTAGCCTGACTAAAGGATGCTAGTACCCGATATATGTGCATTGTATTGTCAAAAACAGCCCATATTTATGTAGCAGAAGCATTCTTCTTACCAATAAATAACTTAAAGTTTACATTTTAACAATTTTGTAAAATTGCTATATTTTGGGGCCAAAAAAGGGGTCTTACTGGACCTACTCCTTTAAAGTTGTTTATAAAAAATTATATCATGAATGATGGTTAATTACGTTTTTTGGGTAATCAGTCATACCGCATTTTGCTATTATTACCATTGGAAAACACCCGAGACGTCCCAAAAATATATAGGTGCTCCTATCATTGGAGTAAACACTACACAGTTGTGTACTCACACATGGCGGCACGAAATACGATCGTAAATCCATTTGACGATATCTCAACGTTTCAAAACAAAGTGAAAAATATCATGCGCCACGCGGGCGCTTACATTTGTTACTCTATACACCATTTCTGGTCGATAAGCGCAATTGGCGCAAGGCGCACGTCCTTCCCGATCACTGTATATATAATATATTAAGCTCCAGAACGTTCCGGGTCTATTAGTTACACAACCATGTTCTATATATATACAATATATGAATTAAGGTCCAGAACGTCCCGGGTCTATTAGTTACACAACCATGTTCTATATATATACAATATATCAATTAAGGTCCAGAACGTCCCGGGTCTATTAGTTACACAACCATGTTCTATATATACAATATATCAAGCTCCAGAACGTTCCGGGTCTATTAATTACACAACGATGTACTATATATACAATATATCAAGCTCCAGAACGTTCCGGGTCTATTAATTACACAACGATGTACTATATATACAATATATCAAGCTCCAGAACGATCCGGGTCTATTAATTACACAACGATGTTCTATATATATACAATATATCAAGCTCCAGAACGTACCTGGTCTATTAATTACACAATGTTGTTCTATACATATACAATATATCAAGCTCCAGAACGTTTCGGGTCTATTAATTACACAACGATGTTCTATAAATATACAATATATCAAGCTCCAGAACGTTTCGGGTCTATTAATTACACAACGATGTTCTATAAATATACAATATATCAAGCTCCAGAACGTTCCGGGTCTATTAATTACACAACGATGTTATAATTCAGGGTCTTCTCCTTCACTGTAATTTGTATTTCATAATATGCCTTCGAAACCGTCGTCAAGGATGATTGTGGACAAGTTTAGACCCAATAGGCGCGCTAGTTTCAGAGGAGAAGATTGTTTTGAAAAGTTACAAACGGACGCAAAGTGATGAGAAAAACCCACTTTTAAACAAGCGAGAGGTTAAGCTAGCTATAAAACCAGTTTCAATCCACCATTTTCTACATAAGGAAATGCCTGTACCAGGTCAAGAATATGACAGTTGTTTTTCATTCGTTTGATGTGTTTTAGCTTTTGATTTTTCCATTTGATAAAGGACTTTCCGTTTTGAATTTTCCTTGGTATTTTTGTTATTATACTTTTTGAATGGAATGAGCTCAAATTTTTCCCAGATTTCTTCATGTTTCAAATTAGAAAAGAAATCTGAAATCAAAAACTTTTCTAAAGTAAAATTAAATCCTTTTTAACCGCTCAATTGTTTTCTCTCTAAATGCTCGTAACTCAAAATCAAGCCCGGGGACCTCTCTTTTTCACTATTATTCAGAGCACGAAATGTATTGCTTATTTTCTATCAAAAGACTTCTACGATAAAGAAATTACTTTTTTTACAGACAGCGGCGAATATACTTTTATTAATTTATCGTATTAATTCCCTCCCGATGAAATGATATTAATTCAATAACGCATACTACATGTATATAGTATATTATAGGTGAAAGATAGATCACCATATTCAATGTAAAAAGATTAAAAAAAATACAGTCGCTAGTGCCAAGAGAGAGAGAGAGAGAGAGAGAGAGAGAGAGAGAGAGAGAGAGAGAGGCGGTGGTATTCAAACTCAAACGTCGAAGACCGCTAACGCCATGGCAAAAATCGAAAAACGGCAAAAAAAAGAGGACGGGATTGTGGTTCCGATGATAAACATTTAACAGTAAATTGACCTACTACCACCCTACCCAAATTAAAATTATTGATAAACGCAGGTTCATAGAAAGGAAAATCAGTTTCAGCACCACTGGTGGCACCGGTCGTGTTGCTTATATAAATTAGTAATACACCTATTTAAATACATCTTTAATAATGAAATGGATATTACCGCCCATCAAACCATATCAAGGTTATTTATGGTACAAACAAATCTTTGCCAACCAAAACGATTATTTGGTGTACAGTTGAATTGATGCAATCGAAACTTGTCTTGAATAAAAACTGAGGGAGTTATATCTTAATTTTATAAGAACTGCATATACATCTTCATGGACTAAGCGTTTACGTCTATACATGTATTGTGGTAATCTAAATCATGTCAGTACCGTAGCGCGTACGAGGCAGATATAACCCTCGGTGCTGATAGTATTCAAAGTTTATCTCGTGATGTTTTAAGAATAAAAATCTATTTTTGTTTGGAGAATCAAATTTGTTATATAGTATGATTAATGTAGTGCGTTTTTTTCCGTCTTGCCTTTAAGGTATGCGTACGTAATTATCAGATTAATAGATTTTTATTTTACTTAATTTGCATAGTTTTGTCGTGCACCATATGGTACAACAATTTTTATGATGAATTTTGTTATATATAAACTTTACCACTTAAAATATTGTTCCTGTAAGCACACCTTTCACGTGTATTGAATCACATGTATTCGGTTAAATATCGATAAATCATTTAAGACTTGGTCTGACCAGTATTCATTTACGAGTCATCTTGATCGTACGAGAATGTGGCAAGCCGGGATCTTGATCCTTTATCTTATTCATCATGCACATGTAAGTTTTTTTCATTTAAGTTAATGATATGATTATTTAAACGAACAGCTTTTTCTTTGATACTCAGTTCATTAACTGTAAAAGATGTATTTACCAAGAAGACGGGGGTGGGGATATAAAATTTAGCACGCATCTTCTTGCTTATTTCTAATAATTCATATTGCTATAGTTTCGTTCTCCTCGAAATTTTTTTTTATCATTATTCTTATTATATAGCATAGTGTATATATCCAGATAAGGTGTACAAATTTTTGCACCTCATGTTTGCGGTATACCATCTTTTCCGCAAGTTTATTGTTTTTCTGTTTGGTATTAAATTGATAATTAAGATCTATTTTTTTTACATCTGTTGATCCGTTTTTTGGCAATCACCATGACAGTCAGCAGGGTTTAAGAACATCCGTTGTTCGACCTGCTAGTCAAATGCGTTCTGTTAAAATATACTTTTTCACTTTTTTGGTCTTATCGAAAATGTTGTTTGTGCTGTATTTAGACCCCTCTACCAAGAAATTTGTTTTGCATGCACACATATGAAAATTGCGGTTTTTTATCTAACACAGTCATAGGTTTGAACATTTTTTTCAATTTATATATATATATATATATACAGTCTAGGTGGCCGAGTGGTCTAGAAAGCCGGAAACAGTGCAGGCGGTGTTGTCTCGATATCTCAATAGCAAGAGTTCGAATCCCGGCGAGGGAAGAACACAATTTGCTTCCGCAAATTTTCAGATTTAACATTGTTGTGCTGATATTTAGAGTAATTATGAATATAATATGTGTTTTCAGCCGTGTATCACCTTCACTGGTGATCCAATGAAAGGATCGTTGAAGTGTCACTTGTTTAGACGTACTTATCAAATAATTATTTCTGTGACTGAATCTTACGATCCTTTACGATAGATAATTAAGCTAATCTGCAATCAATTCGATCTTCATGTCTAATATATCATGTACTGTGTTACAACTCTAGATTCTACTGACGAGGAAAGGTAACACTAGGCCACCGAAAGCTAAATTTTTAGTTCAGTCTTGGGGGCCGAATGGTCTAGAGCGCTGGACACAGTGATGGCCGTGTTGTCTCGATATATCTCAATAGCAAGAGTTCGAATCCCGGCAAGGGAAGAACATAATTTGCTTCCGCAAATTTGAAGATTTAACATTATTGTGCAGATATTTAGAGTAATTCGACCACCTAGGCTACATAAAAATGTTGCTTTCGTTGGTTGATGTAATGCCTTTCTTCGTCGGTTTTATCAGGGGTTTTAACATAGTACATGATGTATAGTGGCAAGTAGATGGTGTACCTTTCAGATCAGCTATTTTGTCTGTCGTAAAGGATGATAATGTTAATTACCATGCCGCTACATCAAATTTTAATTTTATTATACACGTCTAAACATGTGAAAACTTCATGACAGACATTCCCATCGGATAACGCGTAGTTATACAGGGCTAACACCATAATATACTTATAATTCGTCTCAAATTTAGCCCAACAATGTTAGATCTTCAAATTTGCGTTAGCAAATATTTTTTCTTCCCTCAGCGGGATTCGAACCTTTGGTTTTGCGACAACGCGACAACACCGACTGCATCGTGTCCAGTGACCTGAAAGAAGTATATGAACTGAGGACGGAGTAATATATATCCTCGTATCGACCTCATACAAAGGCTACAATGTTAATTATTATTGTTAATAAGCCAGAAGTAGAGCACCAATTCATTTGTTTGGTTTTGTCGATTGTGTCAGATATTTCAAGAAATAACCGTGCAATATCACTTTTCTATCCGCTGTTTTAAGTATACCATTGAAAATATAATTAAACATGTAACGGCCTTCAACAATGAGCAAAGCCCATACTGCACAGTCAGCTATAAAAGGCCCCGAAATGACAATGTAAAAGAATTCAAACGAGAAAACTAACGGCCTAATTTATGTACAAAAAATGAACGAATAACAAATATGTAACACATAAACAAACGACAACCACTGAATTAAAGGCTCCTGACTGGGGACAGGCACATGCATACAGAATGTGGCGGGGTTAAACAAGTTAGCGGGATCCTAACCCTGCTCCTAACCATGGACAGTGGTGTAACAGTACAACATAAGAACGAACTATAAAAATCAGTTGAAAGAGGTTTAACTCATCAGATGGATACAAATACAAATACTACAAATACAAGTGGACGTGGCCGGGTACTTGTTTTTAATGGAATGCTTTTTGTTTCCATACTTACAAACGAACACATCTTTGATGTGTATTTACTTGCGAAACATGCACATGCACAATGAACAACAGCACTTTAAGATATGAACTGACTTCACTCCCATAGCCAGGATTTCGGGGGAAGGGGTGTGATAATCATGACGCTCTGACCTTTTAATAGTCAAACTGCAATTTGCATGTCGACTTTAATTGTCTTAAATGGATTTGTTTTTGTTCCAAGTCCCCTTCTTCCCCTGTCTAAGGCTTTTCGTCTTACTACTTGTACTCAAATTATATTGACTGTTATCTATTTAACATCATTTGAAAACTCATAAGAAATAATTCAGTTAAACATTATACGGAGTTTACAATAACAATAAAACATCGATTGTATCATTATTTTGAGCCAAACATGGACTTGAAGACAAGTTTCACTTTTGCCAAAATGTAGCCTTGAATTTAAATGAAAATAACTAAATATACAAAAGAACATACTTCAAAATGGTTCTTAAAGGGGTATACATATATCTAAAACCCCTGAATGTTAAGTGAACCAATTGTCTTCATAAAAGTACATCTTCAGAAAAAAAAAGTCCAATATTTTCTGTTAAAATAAAGGTGTCAATTTTATGGATCGGAGTTTGCAGTCAAAGTTATATCTGCATAACATTGTTGTAAATTTTGAAAATCATCAATCATGCATAATTTATGAATCATAACTTCATAATTTATTAAAGGAATGACTGCAATAATTTTTCTGTCTATGAAGAAATAACATACAAAAATTGGTGCATACTGAAACAACCTGCTTAGCGTGGCACCACATTTTTGAGGTTGTTTCGAATAGACAGAAATATATTACAGTCATTCCTTATAATTTAGCATTATAAGTGTAACAACAAAGTTAAATTATAATGTGATAAGCTAAAAAGAAACTTATTCATATGTAGTAGAGAATTTATAAGAAATTGTTTTTTCCTAAACTTGATCTAATAGGCAAGGAAAATGAAACATAGAACGATAAATAAGAATATTTCGAATCCTACAACAATTAAAATGTTTGTGTTATTTCTTACATCGAGATATATTTTTCTTTAATCAAACAAAATATAATATACTTTTATTTTGGCCATATGGGGATCTTTTTATATTGGTTGTAATAATTATTCTCAGAATGTTGTATTCATATTATATTTGCATTTTCAATATAAGTAAATACACTATCTAATTTTTATTTTTATTAACCACAGACAGCAAATGATCCACGTTGTCCAGCATTGAACCGAAGTGTGAGATGTAAGAGTTACCTAAAGGTTGATCGATGTCAGACAGATACCAACTGTCAAGGTGGTTAGTAATTAACATATCTTACAGAGATAACAACTGTCACAGTGGTTAGTAATTAACATATCTCACACATATTTCAACTGTCTTGATGGTTAGTAATCAACATATCTCACACATATATCAACTGTCTTGATGGTTAGTTATTAAAATATTTTACACAGATCCCAACTGCAATGGTGGTTAGTAATTAATATGTGTTACACAGAAACCAACTGTTATGTTGGTTTGTAATTCATATATCTTATACATATACAAACTGCCATGGTGGTTAGTAATTAACATATCTTACACAGATACCAACTGCAATGGTGGTTAGTAATTAACATATCTTACACAGAGCCAACTGTATGAATTAACAATTAGCATAGCTTATACAGATACCAACTGCCATGGTGCTTAGTTATTAACATATGGACTGCGTCGGATAGAAATCGACCTTATGCAAATCAACATCAATACATCTGTTCACCTATTTCGGTTTTGAATAACAAATCAACGGAAAGTCTTGGACTGTTTGCAAGTTGAATTTTTAATCGAATGCTACAAAAAGGACCAAACTTCATCTTTTATTTCATTGTATTTCGTATATGAATGTTACAAATCAACCAGAGTCTTATACATGAACATATTTACGTACACTTGCATAAGGTCGATTTCTATCCGTCGCAGGTCATATCTTACTCAGATATCAAATGTCATGGCGGTAAGCAGTTAACATATCTTAAAAATATACCAACTGTCTGTGTGGTTAGTAGTTAAGAGCAATTCTCTGTAACGACCAACGACATAGGGGTGTCGGCACGCATAGTCACCGATTTTCATGAAACTAAGCCAAAACATGTGATCATGTAAAAAAGTAAGAAAAATGCCCACCAAAATGTTGCTAGGCCTTGGTTGCCATGCCATGGCAACCAAGTGAATGAGATTTCCCGCAAATTTTGAGGAATTTAGAATCGAAAAAACAACTACTTTGCAATCATTCGTAATCAAAACCAGGTTTTATTTAATGATATTTGTAATTATTTTTCAAAAACATGAAATTTAACAAACAAAATAGCAATGTCTTATATAAAAAATATTTTTGCTGAATATTGTCACAACCGCAAAAGCAGAGGTAATTTTCCATTGTAGTTGCGTAGACAAATTTTACACATTTTGCATGAACAAAATAGGCATTTTTGCATCCACCTCCATTTAAGCTGTGGTTATGAATGAAAAGTATCAATGTTTCTAACCAATAAATTATAACAAAATATTTGGGATATTGGGTCCTAGAGTGGTTGCTATGGAAACAAAAATGTGTCATTTTTGCCTTTTTACCTGTAAAATGTGGCCATGTTATTAAAATAATCCACAAAAAGTAATAATTATTGAATGACTATGATGTGCAAACTATTGGCAATTAAATTACCATCAATTTGAAAGGAAATGTAAAAGAAAGAGGCACACTATACATGGAGAAAATGTTAAAGACGTTTTAAGCCACTATTTTATTAGCATATGAAAAATAAAGAGTCAAGGTCATGTCAAAAGTGCTTAGCAATCATCCTTATTTGATAAAAAAAGTACCTAGCAACCATACATGATTTGATTCAGGACTATATAAACTATTATATAGACCTAACCAAAAATGTCTAGGGAGTGTCATCACATAAGTTTTAAACAATCATTCATTTAAAGTGTAAAAATGCTTAGCAACCATGTATTTATATTAGGAAAGTACCTAGCAACCACCTATTTATATTGAAAAAGTGCATAGCAACCATTTATTTATTTAGAAAAACTGCGCAACAACAATATATTTTAGGTTTCATTGGGACAAAAATCAGAAAAAAATAATATAAAACATGCAGTTTTCTTTAAGAACACATGTATAATCCAGAATAGTAAAAAAATTGAAAACAACACGTTACAAATTTCATGCGTTCGAAGCGCTTTTCTGGATTTACCTTCATCAGGAACGCTCAAAGCCAAATTATAAATTATATGGCAAATTCAATTTCATGAGACGGATTACACATTCTAATACAAAAATGTAAAAGATGTCGTCCGATGAGACAACTCTCCAGAAGATAACCAAATGTTATTTGTAAGACAGGTCCTTTGAATCTACAAGAAAAAGAGAAAAGGAATATAACTGCTAAGAGAACGACCAGTGTATTTCTTTGGTTGGGATTGGCCTTTCGAGCAAAGAGGTTATGCATAGACAAAATATTACTTTTCACTCGTTATAAGGCTTGATTATTTATTTTATATTTTTTCGTCGAAATTTTTATTTTCATTGTGTACACACCGTTTTTGTATTTTAAATTGTTTGTGGCTGATGTGCATCTGAATGTACAGAAAATTCCTTTCAGCATGTTTTGTGCAATATTATTGATCTTCAGATCAAGACAATATCACATTCATTTCATTAAGCATCCATTATCCCCATCACAAAATATAAAATGGTCTTTCCTAACTAATAGAACTACCCTGCATCCGCTCATTGCTATGTTTGTATTTCAACAGTGGAAAAAAAAATACGTTGTGTGTTTAGCAAAAGTTATTTTTAATAGAGCCACAGAGCCAACTGAGATTTACCCATAACATTGGGCTAGTCGTCGTTAACTTTAAAAAAATTATTCTCCTCTGAAAATAATAATCGAACAGACTAGGACCCCTTTTTTGGCCCCAAAATATAGAATTATTACAAGTTTGCTAAAAATGTAAACTCTAACGCTATTTATAAGAAAGTAGAATGCGTTTGTTTGATAAATATGAGTCGTTTTTGACAACACAATGGACACGTGTCAGGTACTGGAATCATTATGTCATGCAAAAATACTGGCACTTGTGTTCAGTCTTAATATTAGAATAAAAATATTGTATGTAATGATTATGCATTACATATATAAATGTTGAGACTGAACACGAATTCGGCAACTTCCATTTTTGACAAAAAACATCCTAAAAAAGAAATTTAATAGCAAATTTGATAGATTTTCATATTTGAACTTGAATTTTAGCATTTGTAATGACCAAATCAGTTCAAATCTTTAACACAAACTGATTGATTCAAGTGGAGTACACACTTAAGTGTCTAAAATGTTACATTTTTGGCAAAATTATCCTTTACCGGACTTCTCCTTAAACCAGATTTGGAAACAATCATCATTACAGTATGTACTTTAAAAATGTATCCCATGATGGCTAACATGGCTAAAATAGAATATAGGAGTGAAATGCAAGTTTAAATTGTCTATCATCATGAAAACTTTTATAAATAGAAAAACTTGACAGGATCTTTAATATTCAGAGTGAAGGGATCTACCTATTATCTATTTACAGGGGAGTTTCTGCCCTGAAATTTTGGATTTTAACCTTTTTTATGCCCCGCTGAAGCAGACCGGGCATAAAGTATTACCCTTGTCAATCTGTTTGTACGTCCGTATGTCTGTACGTACGTCCCAAAGTTGTTTTCCGTTCTCTATCTTTAGTTTGCCTCAACCAAATGTTGTAAAACTTTACACAATGCTTATTACCACAAAACACAGATCAAGTTCGAAATTGGGTGGCGTCACTGTTACAGTTTTGGAGTTATGCCCATTTATAAACATAAAAATTGCTGAATTTCTCATTTTAGTTTGCCTCAACCAAATGATATGAAACTTATACACATATTTCATCTTTTATGGGGGTTAGTAATTAACATATCTTACACAAATACCAACTTTCATGATGGTTAAAATTAACGTATTTCACACAGATACCAACTGCCATGGTTGTAAGTCGTTAACATATCTCACACAGATACCAACTGTTATGGTGCTTAGTAATAACTAACATATCTTACACAAATATCAACTGTCATGGCGGTTAGTAGTTTACATATCTTACACAGATACCAACTGTTTTGATGGTTAAAAATTAACATATTTCACACAGATACCAATTCCCATGGTGTTTAGTAATTAACATAAATTGCACAGATACCCACTGTATTGGTAATTAGTAATTAGCATAGCTTATACAGATACCAACTACCATGGTGGTAAGTTATTAACATATCTTACGCAAATATCAACTGTCATGGCGGTTAGCAGTTAGCATATCTTACACAGATACCAACTGTCTCTGTTATTAGTAGTTAACAAATTTCACACATTAACCAACTGGCACGGTGGTTAGTAAATAACATATCTAATACAGATACAAACTATCGATGTGATTAATAATTAACATATCTGACACATATACAATATTTTATGATGGTTAAACATTAACATATTTCACACAAATACCAATTGTCATGATGGTTAGTAATTACCATATCTCACACAAATACCAACTGCCTTGGTGGCTAGTAATTAACATATCTCCCTTTTGTTTTTGATTTTTGTTCCCAGATATTTGGACTCCTCTGGTTTTATCCATGTAGTGCCATTAAAAAAATTTCCCAGCGAACTCCTATTTTTCTTTTCATAATTTTATTATATATAGTTTAAATAGCCATATTTGAAAATGCAATAAAATCCTTGTTATTTTTTTTAGAATTTTTGAAAGAAAAAGGGTGCCAATATTAAATTTATGAAAAGTCTAGAGAGAATTATTTCCCGCCAAATTTTCAATGGCTTATATCTCCAAAAACAAGCACACGGACGCTTCATTTTTTCTGCTTTTTAAGTTCCTTTATTTATATACTATCAATTTATAACAGTGTATTAAAAAGCTTGTTATTCTGAATTTTAATCGTATTTTGTTTTTTATATGAAAAATTGGGTAGAATCGCAGTACTTGTTGAATAAATTGTATTTGATATTTTTCTAGGCAAAGTTTGTTGTCCACAAAAATGCGGAAAAGAATGTGTCATCCCAATCGTAAGTATGTTCGTTAGAAGTAATGGGGAAAATTGGGTATTGACAAATAAGTGAAATATTTTTTTTTACATTATATGTATTGCATAAATGTCTAAGACCATGATAGTGTTGAACGATAACATATAAGTTGCCAAACTGTCTTCAGTCCACGAAGCAGACAAAACGGCATTTTCTTTCAACATACTTCTCACATTTCATTTCAAATAAAATTGAGAATGGAAATGGGGAATGTGTCAAAGAGACAACAACCCGACCATAGAACAGACAACAGCAGAAGGTCACCAACAGGTCTTCAATGCAGCGAGAAATTCCCGCACCCGGAGGCGTCCTTCAGCTGGACCCTTAACAAATATATATACTAGTTCAGTGATAATGAACGCCATACTAAACTCCAAATTGTACACAAGAAACTAAAATTATAAATAATACAAGACTAACAAAGGCTAGAGGCTCCTGACTTGGGACAGGCGCAAAAATGCGGCGGGGTTAAATATGTTTATGAGATCTCAACCCTCCCCCTATACCTCTAGCCAATGTAGAAAAGTAAACGCATAACAATACGCACATTAAAATTCAGTTCAAGAGAAGTCCGAGTCTGATGTCAGAAGATGTAACCAAAAAAAATAAACAAAATGACAATAATACATAAATAACAACAGACTACTAGCAAAGTTTATTTTGTTTTATTTCTTTTAACAAATTACTTTCACATTGTAATGCATTTACCGTTTCCACCGTCCGTTTATATCTTACAAAACATGGCATTTTTTTTTCACAAAATGTAAATTGGAAACTAGCTCGGTGAAATATATATATATTTTTTGTTATTCTTTTTTATACAAAAATAAGGAGATGTGGTTTGATTGCCAATGAGACAGTTATCCACTTAAGTTCAAATGAAGTGGATGTAAGCAATTATAAGTAACCGTATGGCCTTCAACAATGAGAAACCCCACAACGTATAGTCGACTGTAAAATGTCACATAGAAAAGTATGAAACAATTCAATTAACAAAAAAACTAACGGCTTAATTTATAACAAAATAATTGACTCCATTTAAGTATGAAAAAAAAACTGTAGTTTTTTTTGTTGATACACCAATACTGCTTTAAGAACAAAAAGGTTATGCTCCACTATTGACTAAAATGCCTACTCTTCCAGGAAAACAATTTGATAGGAAATACAATTTCAACTCGGTTGATATAACCTTAATATATCTTGTTAGAAATTACAATTTCAGAAACCTAAGCCAAAGTTAGGTATATGTCCCCCTGTAGTCGACAAACCTGCGAGTTTTTGTATGTTAGCCAGGGTTGCTTCTTCTTGTTCTGGCAATGACGCTGATTGTAAAGGTACATTTTATTGTTGTAGTGTAGACTTAAGAAATTATTACCCCAAGAAAAAAGACAATGTGATAGCTTGGGTGGGTTCACTAGCTAAGCAGGAACTGCATAGAATGCCTTGAGTTCACTCACGTTTTTTTTTGTGTTGCTTCTCTCAATCGATTTATCACTTTTGAACACCGGTATACTAATGTTGCCTTTATTAATCCTAGGTTCCTGAGTAATGATCGATGGAATGTTTTCGTCTGTTCGTAACTTTGTCCTTGGCGCTGTCTATCTGCCATCGACATGTGTTCCTGACATACCAACTGCTTCCAAAGAGTAAGGTGAACAAATGATTGAAATCAACATCACACAAGTTTTACGATCACCATCACGGATTAGTTGACGGATACGATGTGTCCGTGTCTGAAATTTCCAGCGACATGTTTACGCTGTTTTTGTTTAGATACCAGAAAATTCGTCTGATCTGTAAATGTAGCGATAGTTACCTATTTTCGATTGTGACATTTTGTTTAAGAGTGATTTGAATGATGGATGATGCTTGATATCAGGAGACGTTAACCCTGTAACCGTGACTGTATTATTTTTTCTGTCTACTAGTATTCCAAATAACACAGAAATGTGGTGCACACTTTCAAATAACCCGCTACGCGAGTTATTTAGTATGCACCACATTTTTGATGTTATTTCGTCATAGACCGAAAAAATATTACAGTCATTCCTTAAATATTCTAAACATAGACAACAGTAACATCAGATTCAACACCCAACTTCTGTTTTAACGTTTTAACGTGCCATTCAATGATGGTATATTCAATAGGTCGCCATGTGTTTCTATAAACATCATCGGAAAAGATTTCTTACATCTTAAGGTGGTACCTAACACTACAGGGAGATAACTCTGTAAAAATCAGCTAAACGTTTTAATCATGTTGTATTGTTAAGGAAATATCAAGATTCTCAATGATCAAAATTAGTGTTTGTCAAACTGCTATATAACCAGTGAAATTTTTCTAATAAAGTGGTTGGTTCAAATTATTTGAAATTTTTATATTTTTGTCAAAGGGTCAAAGTAAACATTTTGTCAAAATTTTAGGAAAATTAAACGAGCCAAATTAATATTAGTCAAGGTGTTGGGTACCACCTTAAACATTGCAGTATTATTCACTCTTAGTTTACATTCACAACATTTGTAATGTTTATAGGTAGTAAGAAATGCTGTCCCAGTTTTTGTGGATGTCAGAAGTGTTTAGAACCGATATCGGTAGGTACCTTGTAGCTGTTATTTATTCGCCTAAGGTTCATGTGGGACCTTTGGCTAAAATGGTTGTGTTTTTGCCTCAAAATTTACTCTGAGTACAGACCAACCTGTGCATCTGAAAAAATCGTGAGACATAGCATGCCCTAGATAGATAGATAAAATTCAAATGCATTTTATCTGGATTTTACTGTGCACTTTTTTCGTCCCTGCAGAAGATGATAAAATTAACAAACTGCTTCACTTAATAATGTCCACTCAGGTACAGTTTAAATATCCAATTATTGGCAGGTATCTATTGTCCCTCTATTATTCGTGTCAATCAACACAATTCACTTTCAATAATTACCTGTGGGGAAGTTCTCAAACCTCTTTCCCAACTTAGTTCAGTTTGGCACGTTCTGGAGGAAAGAAAAAAAGTGCACTGCAAAATCCAGTTAAGTTTTTAATTTTCTAAATCATAAAATGTATTTGAATTTTATTTATCTAGAGCATGCTAAGCCTTAAATTTTTTCCAGATACATAGCTTTGTCTGTACTCGGAGTAAATTTTGATATGAAAATGCATCCATTTTATCCCAAGGGTCCACATGAACCATAAACTACGTTTTTTAATAGTTATAGAACAAAATGTGAAAACCAACCTTTTCTCACAAACTATTTAATTCACTCCACCTGTCGATTTGAATTTCAACTTTGTGTTTTAATTGTACATCAATCCTGAACGTGGAAGGTGCGCTCTACTCCAATCGTAATTGACTAGGATTGTCAGTTGTCCTACCAAGGGTGGTTCTCTCTGTGCATTCCGGCTTCCTCCACCAATTGAAACTGACAGCCACGAAATAGCACAAAAATGCTGAAAGTGGCATTAAACGCCAATCAATCAATCAATTGTATTACAGAATTTTATTTGGAAAGACTGATATTATGACCCACGTATAGAAATTGAATTCTTAGGTTCCTTGATTGTGACCATACACTTTAGATATTGTTTTAAATTTTGCAACTAGATATTCTTATGTGTAAATCATTCCTTAGAATCAAATCAAATCAGATTTTCCAAATTTTTTTTCTGAAGTTTTGGAAAATTAAGGTTTCAGGTGTAAAAAAAAGAATAAATAATACGAAAAATTTGACACTTTTAGAATGCATTTTGAATTTCTGAAAATGTAAATAATTAATTTCATGAACACGTATATTGCAGGGTCCGCGACCAGGCTGTCCGGTTATGCATGAACTGGAACCACAATGTGTTCATTTCAACCAGCAATGTAGTCATGACAGAGAATGTTCTAAAGGTGAATTTAAAACTATTTCATATGAAGACTGCCGAGAATCACGGGATTCGTGGTCGCTGTCACTATGTCCAATCTTCCAAACAAAGAAATTTGCATCAAATTTTACACAGTCAAATTAAAGCTTGAATTCGGCTTGAATATTCAATATTTCATAGTTTTTACGTTCATACCACGACCTTGCTACGATCTTGATAAGATCCTGCTACGATTCCGCTACGATAGTAACACGTTATCTGTTATAGGTTGCTAAGTAAACACAATTCCAACTCTATATAAATTTCGTGTGTCTTATTTAACCTTCATCAGAATTGCTCAAACCTAAACATTTAAAATAAAATGTATAAATATGTAGACAAGTAAGAAGCTACATGACCAAAAAGATACAACAAAAAGCATAACCAAATTCATCTAACTTTGCCTGAAGGTGGTGGTTAGAACATTAGTTAAAAAGGGAAATACACATTCAAATTTCAATTACCATGCAATTGAAAGCTGATTTGCACAAATTGCATGTTTGAATTAATATCAACTTCTACATGAAAATTTTAAACTGTCTTAATTATTGTAACGTGTCGTTATGAAATACGGCATAAGTTCCCGTCATCCCGAAATTTTACAATCAGGAAAATTTATTTTCCAATTCACCCTATTGACTAAACTTAAACTGTTAATTTGCCCTAAAAACATGAATATAACTAATAGAAAAGTTCAGATTTTACTCGTAAAATACATTGTGCAGTCAGTATAAACTTATGAAAATCAATCAATGTACAAATCAATGACGATCCCGGGTTAGCCTTTATATCGAAAATGTTCTAATTTATGCGATACATTTTCAGGTCAGCTGTGTTGCTTCAATCCTTCCTGTGGGACATCGTGTAGAGAAAAAGAAGGTATGTTTACTTCTATTTGGTTGTCTCTTTGACACATTCCCCATTTCCATTCTCAATTTTATGTAACATAATTTCAACGCTGAAACATAAACGAACCCAGGTAATGCAATGTTTATATAATACAAAGCTTTTCATTTCACAACTCATTTTTTTCATACTTTGTATGCATTTGTTTATTCTGTTATTGAATTTCAGTGATATTTTAAAAGCACGTTGAAAGTATACTTTACATGTGTTTTTAAAATATCACTGAAAGTCTATCTCCAAATAATAATCAGCATATTAAGTTGGCCCTTTATGTTAAATATTTTACAACGAACGATAGCGAGGGGTAAAATATCGGCCTAAGGCCAACCCGTGGTAAAAAAACAATACAAATTCAAGCCTCATGAATTATGTTTATTCCAGTAAGACAAAGAAGCCCATTTGTTTTTAGTCGAAGAGTTCTAGGTGAAGGCAATTGTTTGCTGTTTCCATAATAAAGCACACTATCAATATTGATGTAATAGACGAATTAAATTCAACTAGTGACATGCTTAAATGATATACAATGACATACTTGGACATGTTTTGACGAATTTAGATTTTTTTAATCTTACGTTTATTGAAGAATGTGGGCTTTCAACAATTTCTTTTCAATGTTTATTAATGTTTCATGTTTTGATGATTTTCAGTTTCACATTCGTGCATTTTCCCGTAGAAAGCTTATATTCTTACGTAATGGTTCAATGACGTTATTTACACAATTTGAACTCGTTAGTAAATGTATAGATAAGAAAGTAAGTAAATGACTAGGATTAGGAGTCTTTATTATTGAGCAGAATATGCTTTTCCATCCAGAGCACCTGGGATCACCCCGGGTTTTTATAGGGTTAGTGGTGCTCAGTTTTACATGCCGCGGTTTTTATACTGTAGTTTATCTTGTGATCTGTTTCTTTTTATGCCATGGCTTTGTCAGTTTATTTTCGACTTATGAGTTTGAATTTTCCTTTGGTACATTTTGCCTCTCTTTTATTGCTTATGAAGCGAAAATATTTTAAAATGTACTCGTATAATTTAAATTCGCGCCCGTTTTCGGTTTATAAAATGAAATAATATTACATGTACAGGAGTTTGATCGTAACCCTTAAGCTTCTCCAACAGAGTTATGAGAAAGAGCAACTGAAATCGACAATTCATCAGACTCTTTAGTCACACATTGGTTACCCGATACAAATGTCTGTTTTTCAACTTACTAGCGATATGTTTTTGCGGTTCTAGATATCTATAGGTATTAAAAGAAGTCGTTTTATCAGTAAATAAAGAGAATGGTTCCTATTCCTGATTTTGACAGTTTGACTGAATTGGGATTCGCATGATGTATTATGCATGCATTGCAGGAGAGTAATAGCTTTTCGACTAATCTGGTCTAGCTCATTTTTGAGTTTATGCAATTTACTTTCTGTTTACATTGGTTTGTATATCTAAAAGAGATGTACGAGATGTAAACACGTAAGGTGAAAACAAAATCAAGTAATCGCTCTGTCCTTTAAAACACATAGATAGTAAATAGCTTCGTGTCCAATAACCCTGATTAAAAGAGGGGCGCTTATCTTGATGCATTTGAATTGCTTTATTCTCAAATTTCCATGAACGTGTGAACCTTATCCGTGTTTTATCCCCATTAAATTCTGTCGAGGATGCATGCTTGGAGTATATAATTAAATTGATCTTGTTTTCTATAAAATAAAGAACATCTGAAAAAAATCAGAATATAGCAAGTTGGTTAAAATAGCAGTGTAAGATACAATAGGACAATAGTAACCGATAACAGTCTGTGATTTCTGGGGTTAACATCAATGGTTATATTAGGTAGATTACTTGAAGGTCTTAAATAAGTCAACACAAGACACCTTCCTCCTTACACAAACGTTTTCTACTATTAAAAGTATCTTTATACTAGTAGAAGAAAAGTAGAAATAAATTATTATTCTATTAAAATTGATTTTAATTAAGAGCCTATAACCAAGCCAGGAGAATGTCCACCTAACCCACCTGGTATTGTCTGTGCGTTATTTGTTAGACCAGGAGATTGTACTAATGATGGAAGCTGTCCTGGTAATCAAAAGTGTTGTCTACAGGGATGTTCCAGAAGTTGTGTTGATCCAGGTTATTAAAAAAGATAGTACCTTGATAAGGCAAATGTAGTGTTCAAGCACTTATTAGTTAATCAGATTACTTTTTTTAATTTCTAGAATATGTTTCATTGAAAAATTGAAAATGAAAGGTACGATGATCTTAATTAGCAAACTATAAAGCTAATGTTTATACGGGTTTTCAACTATAAGGATCCTTTCATGTGATTCAATTACGGAAACGTAAATGAGATTAACATCTTTATTCATTTCGTTCGTTTGTTTATAACCTGACAATTTTTCACTGACTGTTGCGCTTTTGTGCAAACACATTTTTAGTGTGCATATTAAATTCAATCCACGTGAAAATTTGATTGGAAATCTGCATTCCTGCTAGAAATGTCTGCGTATTTATAAATCGTTAGATCGCTTTTATGGACATTTTGACTTAGTTTATTCCTGGTTTTCAATGGTTTGGGAATGCTCAATCTTTCGGCCCGTATCTGTGTTGTTTAGATACTGTTGTTTGTATTCTTAACTCGTTTTTTCTGCCATCATCAGTACATGTTCCGATTGACAGATTTGTTCCTTCTAGTTCTCCTTATAGTTCATGATAATTTAAATGTAGTGGTATATTTCTATTTTATTTATTATTTATATTCTTTCGTAGTTTCTTCTCGAAAAATCTATAAACATATTAGAAAAGGCTTATTAAAATAATGTTATAAATGTTAATACTTCTACCCTTTTTACAGAACCTAGATGTGGACCTGTTTGTGCTATATCCTGTCCCTTTGGAAATGTTCTTGATGAAAACAACTGCCAAACTTGTAGATGCAAAACAGGTAATGATGTTCTATAATATAGATTTAAAATGCGAGATGATATACCAAAAGAAATTAGCCTGATTATATATTTTGTACTACATGAAATTATTACTGGGGACTTTTCGTTCGATGTGTTTCGATTTGTTGATAACTCTTTGTCCTAACAGTTGTTAAATAATTTTGTGTATTATTATTTTTTCTTTCAGAATCAGTTAATACTATATTATTTTCACGTGTGTTAATTTTATCTTCCGTCACAGTTTCCCCTTCGCACTTTCGCTGTGCAGTTGTAGAACATATAACGAGGTGTCCTAGTTAAGAAAAGTTTCGTCGAATGAGAGTTCGGGGAGACAATAATTTAATAGCAGTACATTTCAGACGATTTCATTAAAATAAAAGGATTATCGTTTGAAATGAAATTCTATATACACGTGCAATATAGAAAAACTTTGTCATTCAAGTATATAAAAAATAGTCGTCTTTTTGTTAAAATTGATTATTCTTGTGAATTTACGGATTCGTATTCGTAGTAGAAAAACAACGATAAAGATCAACTATGGTTTTGAAAAACTGTGATCATTTGAAATATAAATTGTTTTTTTTTAATAGTTGTTATCTTGCATTTGAATTTAATCCACTCGCTCCCGTTTTTCTACTCGTTTCGTTGGTTGATAAAGTATAGATATTGCCAATTTTTATGGACTTCCCCTTTTTTGATTTTGCCTTAGAGAATTTTGGCTATTCTTTTTTATAATAAATATAATATCCTTCTAGAGCAGCTGAAATCACCCCCATTCTTTGTTGGGTTCGTGTTGCGCAGTCTTTAGTTTTCTATGTTGTGTTTTGTGTAATATTGTATATTTTTTGGTCTTTTTTTTAACCATGACGTAGTCGACTGATGAGTTTGAATGTCCCTTTGGTATCTTTTTCCTCTTTTTCACATTTTGTTTTCTATTGTAGGATGCAAGGGGAATGTTAGTCCATTAGGATCAATCAGCTGTGGTTCAGGTCAACAAAGATGTCCCGCTCGATATCAATGCAACACACCTTCAGCAGGCGGCAGTGGAGTTTGTTGTCCTTATGGTATGCTAAACAGCGTCCTAATTCACCGTTGTAGAACCTAATGTATTATGTGTAATATTTTCAAAAACGTACACCAAAATGTTTTGATTGGTTGGAAACGTCATAGTCAATGGAAATTCAACCAGTGACGTAGCGTTGTTTTCATTTTAGTGTACGAACAATGAGATTACCCATAGTTCTTTTGATTCTGAAAAAGCCAACTACTTTAGACCAACTGTAACACTCACCAAATTACATATATAAATGACGTTAAACACATAAAAAGAGATTTATGATACATGTTGGTTGCAAAAATGAAATATTTTGATGCGGTATAATTGCAATAGCGTGAGACAACTATAAATGATCAGCATTTACAATATTGTCCTATGTTGGGTACAAAAACAATATATACGATAAACAGATAACAGTGCAAACAATGAAGGTTGGTTTAAAATTGAATAACGTGATATGAAGTGAAGTTTTACTGATATACGATTTTACAGGAAATTTAAAAAGAAAAAGGAAATCAAAAGGAAGCAAATTTTATAAAAAAAATCAGGTGATGGACGACATCTTACAATGCGCATATTTTTTTCAGAATGTCCTCTTGTAAGGTGCAGCGAACCATGTCCTCATGGTTGCGTGATTGACGTTAATGGCTGTCAAACATGTGAATGTAGTAAGTAAAATGTATGAAAAATATGAAAAAAAAATATTCGGATACAGGGTTGAAGTATGTTAACATCTACGTCATTTGGTCTCTGATTGAAAATTGTCTCATTGGCATTCATACAAAATCAGCCCCGTGTTTGATTAGTCTGTTATAGACGAAACGTGCGTCCTGGTATCTGCATATGATGAGTTTATTTATATTGTTAGGATTTTGTTTACATTTTTAAATAGACATGATATGTCCTACGAGAGTTATTAATATATAGGACTTCAAAATAAATCATTCTCAGTCATGTGTATTTCTAAAAAGAGGGTTCCTATGGTGTACTTTTTTCTGTTAATATCGTTATTAGTGCTGAAACAATGAAAAAGAGTTTTGTTATTTACGTCCATCAGCACAGTTCTCTGATTTGACTTTGTTTCAAAAACTTGTAATCAAGGCGCAAGTGGCACACCTTGATTAAATAATTAAGTCGCTTGTGTTTTCTGTTGTATGAATAAAAGTATCTTCATTATTCAAAACATTGATTTATAATGTTTCGAAGTTTAGGGTGACGTTCATGTCTGCTGAACTAGTATACATTATTGTTTAAAGGCCAGCTGAAACCCGCCTCCGGGTTCGGAATTTTCTCGCTGTGTTGAAGATCAATTGGTGGCCTTAGGCTGTTTTCTGCTCTCTGGTTGGGTTGTAGTCTCTTTGACACATTCCCTGTTTTCATTCGTAATTTGAGATAGAGTTGCAAATATTTAATAATTACCAACCAAAAATTTGATATTAGTCGAATGAACTTACATTTCCCCAACACTGCCTCCATAGATAAAGAGTTTATGTAAGATAGAAGTGGAATGTGTTGGAAGTGTTTTTTTTAATGTGCAAAGAAAATGAAATTCACCCACGTGAAACATGGGATTAGATGCGTGTCTGTGTATTTATATGTCCCATGCAGTCAATCATTCTTTTGCATTTAGGTGCTCGTCGACCCTTGAAGTTCATGCATTTGTCTTTTAATAATAATCCTAGTGTCTTACCACAAGCTTGTTCTATCACCAACGTGTTAGATTATCATTAAAAATTTCTCCAGTTGACGGGCTAGAGTCCGTGAAATTCTATTAGTCTTTCAGTGTTAAAGATAAAAGAGATAAATGTAGTGCAGGACTATGTCTAAATTTGAACGGTTAACAGAAAAAGTTTTTTTTTAATGTGCAAAGTACATTCAACCCACAGGAAACTTTAATTGGAAATCCGCATTCCTGCCAGAAATATCCGCATATTTGTAAATCGTTAGATTGCATGTATGGATAGTTTAACCGAGTTCATTCCTGGTTTTTAGTAGTTTGGGATGATGAATCTTTATTTTCGATTTTTTTTTTTAGACTAGATTGTTTTTTGTATTCTCAACTCAATTCTTCTTCCATCATCCGTACATGTTTCGATTGACATCTACGTTCCTTCTAGTTCTCCTTATCGTTCAGGAAAATCCGAATGTAATGGTATCTTTCTATTTTATTCATCATTTCTATTCTTTCGTAGTTTCTGCTCGAAAAATGTATAAATATAAAAGGCTTATTGAAATACTGTTATAAATGTTAATACGTTTACGCTTTTTACAGAACCTAAATGTGGACCTGTTTGTGCTATATCCTGTCCCTTTGGAAATGTTCTTGATGAAAACAACTGTCCAACTTGTAGATGCAAAACAGGTAATCATGTTCTGTTATATATATTTAAAATGCAAGATGATATACCAAAAAGAAATTAGCCTGATTATATATTTTGTACTACATCAAATTATTACTGGGGACTTTTCGTTCAATGTGTTCCTATTTGTTGATAACTCTTTGTCCTAACAGTTGTTAAATAATTTGGTGTATTATTATTTTTTCTTTGAAAATCAATTAATATTATCTTATTTTCACGTGTGTTAACTTTATCTTCCGTCACGGTTTCCCCTTCGCACTTTCGCTGTGGTGCAATTGTAGAATATATAACGAGAGGTGTCCTGGTTAAGAAAACTGTCGTCGAATGAGAGTTCGGGGAGACAATAATTCAATAGCAGTACATTTCAGAAGATTTCTTTAAAATAAAAAGATTATCGTTTGAAATGAAAGTCTATATACACGTGCAATATAGTAAAACTAAGTCATTCAAGTACATAAAAAATAGTCATCTATTTGTTAAAGTTGATTATTCATATGAATTTACGGATTCGTATTTGTAGTTGGGTAATATTTGGGATTTTGATGGAATTCTGCACGCATTTTGACGTCAATGAACTGCATTTGAATATCGATAAATATACATGTAGCATATAAATCTCTATACAAAATCGTCATTTAGAATTTTAAAAGAAAAATCTACATAGATGGAGAATAACAACGATGAAGATCAACTATTGTTTTGAAACACTGTGATCATTTGAAATATTGATTGTTTTTTTTTTAAATAGTTGTTATCTGGCATTTGAATTTTGATCCACTCGCTCTCGTTTTTCCACTCGTTTCGTTGGTTGATAATGTATAGATATTGCCAATTTTTATGGACTTCCCATTTTTTGATTTTGCCTTAGAGAATTTTGGCTAAACTTTTTTTATAATGAATAAATGAAAAAAAATTCAAAGTAAAGCCAAATTACCAGCTTGTGGTTGAAATTTTGAGTAGACGCTAGCTATCCATTGGAAACCCATAGTAACATAGTAACACGACGATCGCCACTTGTAAAGCAGGATCTGCTTATCCTTCTAAAGCAGCTGAAATCATCCCCATTATTTGTTGGGTTCGTGTTGCGCAGTCTTTAGGTTTCTTTGTTGTGTTTTGTGTAATATTGTTTATCTTTTGGTTTTTTTTTTAACCATGACGTAGTCGACTTATGAGTTTAAATGTCCCTTTGGTATCATTTGCCTCTCTTTCTCATTTTGTTTTCTATTGTAGGATGCAAGGGGAATGTTAGTCCATTAGGATCAATCAGCTGTGGTTCAGGTCAACAAAGATGTCCCGCTCGATATCAATGCAACACACCTTCAGCAGGCGGCAGTGGAGTTTGTTGTCCTTATGGTATGCCAAACAGCGTCCTAGTTCCCCGTTGCAGAATCTAATGTATTTTGTGTTATATTTTCAAAAACGTAGAAAAAAATGTTTTTATTGGTTAAAACTGTCATATTCAATGGAAATTCAACCAATGATGTAGCATTGTTTTTATTTTAGTGTACGAACAACGAGATGATTCTTAGTTCTTTAGATTCTGAAAAGGCCAATTACTGTAAACAAAATGCAACATTCACCAAATTACATATATAAATGACGTTTCACAAATAAAAAGAGATTTATGATACATGTTGTTTGTAAATATGAAATATGGGGATGTGGTATAATTACAAAAGCATGAGACAACTATAAATAATCAGCATTTACAATATCGTCCTATGTTGGACACAAAAACAATATATACGATTAACAGATAACAGTGCAAACAATGAAGGTTGGTTTAAAATTGAATAACGTGATATGAAGTGAAGTTTTACTGATATACGATTTTACAGGAAATTTAAATGGAAAAAGGAAATCAAAAGGAAGCAAATTTTTATAAAAAAAGCAGGTGATGGACGACATCTTACAATGTGCATATTTTTTTCAGAATGCCCTCTTGTAAGATGCAGCGAACCATGTCCTCACGGTTGCGTGATTGACGTTAATGGCTGTCAAACATGTGAATGTAGTGAGTAAAATATATGAAAATCGTTTAAAGAAAAAAAATGTTAGGATAGAGGGTCGAAGTGTGTTAACATCTACGTCATTTGGTCTCTGGTTAAAAGTTCATACAAAATCAGCTCCGTGTTTGATGAGTCTCCTATAGACGAAACGTGCGTCCTGGTATCTGCATCTGATGAGTTTATTTATATTGTAAGGATTTTGATTACGCTTTTAGATAGACATGATATGTCCTACGAGAGTTATTGATATATATAGGACTTCAAATTAAATCATTCTCAGTCATGTATATTTCTAAAAAGAGGGTTCCCATGGTGTATTTTTTTCTGATCATATCGTTATTAGCGCTGAAACCATGAAAAAGAGTTTTGTTATTTACCTCCATCAGCACGATTCTTTGATTTGACTTTATTTCAATAACTTCTAATCGTGGCGCCAGTGGCACACCTTAATTAAATTATTAAGTCGCTTGTGTTTTCTGTTGTAAGGGTAAAAGTATCTTCTTTATTAAAAACATTGATTTATAATGTTTCGAAGTTTAGGGTGATGTCCATGTTTGCTGAACTAGTATACATTATTGTTTAAAGGCCAGTTGAAACCCGCCTCCGGGTTCGGAATTTTCTCGCTGTGTTGAAGATCAATTGGTGGCCTTGTTCTTTGTTCGGGTTGTTGTCTCTTTGACACATTCCCTGTATTAATTCGTAATTTGAGATAGAAATATTTAATAATTACCAACCAAAAATTTGATTTCAGTCGAATGAACTAACATTTCCTCACCACTGCCTCCATAGATAAAGAGTTTATGTAAGATAGAAGTGGAATGTGTTGCAAGTCATTTTCAATGTGCAACGACATGAAATTCACCCACGTGAAACATGGGATTGAATGCGTGTCTGTGTATTTATATGTCCCATGCAGTCAAACATTCTTTTGCATTTAGGTGCTCGTCGATTCGTGAAGTTCATGAATTTGTCTTTTAATAATAATCCTAGTGTATTACCACAAGTTTGTATTATGATCAATGTGTTACATTAGCATTTAAACTTCTCCAGTTGACGGGCTAGAGTCCGTGACATTCTATTAGTCTTTCAGTGTTAAAGATAAAAGAGATACATGTAGTGCAGGACTACATCTAAATTTGAACGGTAAACAAAAAATGTTTTGTTTTAATGTGCATAGTAAATTCAACCCACACGAAACTTTAATTGGAAATTTGCATTCCTGCCAAAAATATCTGCATATTTGTAAATCATTAGAACGCATTTATGAATGATTTAACCGAGTTCATTCCTAGTTTTCAGTGGTTTGGGATGCCGAATCTTTAGTTTCGATTCTGTTCCTTTTTTCAGACTAGACTGTTGTTTGTATTCTCAACTCAATTCTTCTTCCACCATCCGTACGTGTTTCGATTGACACCTACGTTCCTTCTAGTTCTTCTTATCGTTCAGGAAAATCCGAATGAAATGGTATATTTCTATTTTATTCATCATTGAAATTCTTTCGTAGTTTCTTCTCGAAAAATCTATAAACATAAAATGCTTATTGAAATACTGTTATAAATGTTAATACGTTTACGCTTTTTACAGAACCTAAATGTGGACCAGTTTGTGCTATATCGTGTCCCTTTGGAAATGTTCTTGATGAAAACAACTGTCCAACTTGTAGATGCAAAACAGGTAATGATGTTGTATTGTATAGATTTAAAATGTGAGATGATATACCAAAAGAAATTAGTCTGATCATATATCATTTACTACATCAAACTATAACTGGGTACTTTTCATTCCATGCGTTCCCATTTGTTGATTAATCTTTGTCCTAACAATTGTTAAATAAATTGGTGTATTATTAATATTTCTTTCAAAATCAGTTAAAACTTTCTTATTTTCACGTGTGTTAACTTTCTCTTCCGTCATGGTTTCCCTTACGCACTTTCGCTGTGCAGTTGTAGAATATATAACTAGGTGTCCTGGTTAAGAAAACTGTCGGCGAATTAGAGTTCGGGTAGACAATAATTCAAGAGCAGTACATTTTAGAAGATTTCATTAAAATATTAAAAAAAGATTATCGTTTGAAACGAAAGTCTATATACACGCGTAATGTAGTAAAACTTAGTCATTCAAGTATATAAAATATAGTCATCTTTTTGTTTAATTTGACTGATCATATGACTTAACTAATTCGTATCCGTGGTTGGGTAATATTTGGGATTTGGATGGAATATTTCACGCATTTTGACGTCGATGAACTTTTCTTACTTTTCTTACTGCTCACACTATTTCAATACTTGGTGTACTTTGCCTTTACACATTTGTCAGTGTAAAAAAAATCTAAGTAAATGTAAAATAACAACGATTAAGATCAATTATTGTTTGGAAACACTGTGATCATTTGAAATATTGATAGTTTTTTTAAATAGTTGTTATCTGGCATTTGAATTTAATCCACTCGCTCCCGTTTTTCCACTCGTTTTGTTGGTTGGTAACGTTTGATATTGTCAATTTTTAAGGACATCCCCTTTTTATGCTCAATAATGAAACATTTAACCTTGGAGTATTTTTGCTATTCTTTGTTTTTAATTTTTTAATAAATAAAAAAAAGCAGGAATCAAAGTCTAGCCAATTTACAAGCTTTTGGTAGATATTTTGAATATACGCTATTGATCCATTGGAAACTCATAGTAACACGACAGGTGCCACAAGTAGAGCAGGATCTGCTTACCGTTCCAGATCAGATGAGATCACCCCTATTTTTTGTAGGGTTCGTGTTACCGTTCTTTAGTTTTCTATGTTGTGTTTTGTGTAGTATTGCATATCTTTGGTCTTTTTCTTTTTTAACCATGGCGTAGTCGACTTATGAGTTTGATGTCCCTTTGGTATCTTTCGCCTCTCTTTCACATTTTGTTTTCTATTTTAGGATGTAAGGGTAATGTTTATCCATTAGAATCAATCAGCTGTGGTACAGGTCAACAAAGATGTCCCGCTCGATATCAATGCAACACACCTCCAGCAGGCGGCAGTGGAGTATGCTGTCCCTATGGTATGTTAAACAGCGTCCTAATTCGCCGTCGTAGAATCAAATGTATTCTGTGTAATATTTTCAAAAACGTACACAAAAATGTTTTGATTGGTTAAAAACGTCATATTCAATGGAAATTCAACCAATGACGTAACGTTTTTTTTCATTTTTGTGTACGAACAATGAGATTACCCATAGTTCTTTAGATTCTGAAAAGGTCAATTACCAATTGTAACACTTACCAAATTACATATATAAATGACGTTACACACATATAAAGAGATTTATGATACATGTTGTGTGTAAATATGAAATATGGGGATGAAGTATTATTACAAAAGCATGATACAACTATAAATGAGAGAACAAGTCACATAAATTAAATCATCTATAGATCGCTGTACGGCCTTCAACAACGAGTAAAACTCATACAGCATAGCTAGCGATAAAAGACCCTGACATTATAAAATGTAAAACAATTCAAATGTGAAAACCAACGGCCTTTTTCAAAAACAAAATAAAAAACAAATATGATATACAGTAACAAACGACAACCACTGAAGTACAGGCTCTTGCCTTTGGACAGACACATTAATTGATTAAACTTTGTTAGTAAAAAAATAAAATGTAGAAGGGTTAAGGTGGTACCTAACACTACAGGGAGATAACTCTGTAAAAATCAACTAAACTTTTTAATCACGTTGTATTGTTAAGGAAATATTAAGCTTCTCAATGATCAAAATTAGTGTTTGTCAAACTGCTATATAACCAGTCAAATTTTTCTGATAAAGTGGTTGGTTCAAATTATTCGAAATTTTTATATTTTTGTCAAAGGGTCAAAGTAAACATTTTGTCAAAATTTAAGGAAAATTAAACGAGCCAAATTAACGCCTTCATGTGGTAGTCAAAGCAAACCTGGTTATGGTGATTCAAGAGACATGTCTTCTACGCACGCAACAATATTTTTGTTAGATAAGGCTTCTGGTCATTTATTAATCATACATATTTAATCAATTGTGTAGAACGATTCTGTTCTATACGTTTTACATCCATTACAATCTATGTTAATCAACAATAAAAAAATTGTCCAATACTGGGTATAATAACAATATACTAGTAAACGATTAACATATTACAGTACAAACAGTGAAGGTTGGTTTAGAATAGTCCTAATCGCTTTTTGGGAATCTGCGACACTTGACCCTAAAATAAGCGACACATGAACTATTGACGTCATACAACAATTATTTTACCTTTGTGGCGTCAGACGTTTTCTATTGGGACAACAAAATGTCACAGGAACCTTTGTGATGTACAGTAATAGCGGACAAAAAGTGATAAGGTGTATTGAAAATCGTGATATTAAGTGAAGTAATACTGATACACGATTTTACATAAAATTTGAGAAGAATGAAAAGGAACAAATATCATAAAAAAATCATGTGATGGGACGAAATTTTAAAAACGAATATGATCTGTGCAAGGCCAAACTTTAAAACGAACAGTTTGTAGTTACTAGTAGTTCATAGTACTGGTGCATTTCATATTTATGAATAATTTCAGATATTCATTAGTATCTTACAATGTGCACATTATTTTCAGAATGTCCTCTTGTAAGGTGCAGCGAACCATGTCCTTACGGTTACGTGATTGACGTCAATGGCTGTCAAACATGTGAATGTAGTGAGTATAATATATGAAAATCGTTTAATCCTTTTTTTCATTTTGGGTACAGGGTTGAAGTATGCTAACGTCCACGTCATTTGGGCTCTGGTTGTAAGTTTTCTCATTGGCATTCATACAAAATCGATCCGTGTTTGATGAGTCTTTTGTAGACGAAACATGCGCCTGGCGTACAAAATTTTTATCCTTGTATCTGCATCTGATGAGTTCATTTATATCATGTATATAGAAAGGATTTTTTAGATAGGCACGAGATGTCCTGCGAGAGTTATTAATAGAGTTAATAATAGACTTCGTATTAAATAAAGGCAACAGTAGTATACCGCTGTTCGAAATTCATAAATCGATTGAGAAAAAAACAAATCCGGGTTACAAACTAGAACTGAGGGAAACACGTCAAATATAAGAGGAGAACTACGACACAACAGAAACACAACATTAAAATGTAACACACACAGAAACGAACTATAATATAACAATGGCCATTTTCCTGACTTGGTACAGGATATTTTAAGAAAAAAATGGTGGGTTGAACCTGGTTTTGTGGCTAGCCAAACCTCCCGCTTTTATGGCAATGTTAAATATAACATTAAAATGACAACATTAAATGACAGGACTACAATACAAATACATAGGAGAACATATAGGACAGAGAAACATACGAATATAAGCTATTATTCAACACGCAAGACGCGCGTTTCGTCCACACAAGACTAACCAGTGACGGTAGATCAAAAAAGTTCGAAAGCCAAAACAAGTACAAAGTTGAAGAGCATTGAGGACCAAAAGTTCAAAAAAGTTGTGTCAAATACGGCTAAGGTTATATGTCTGGGATAAGAAAATCCTTAGTATTTAGAATAATTCATACTTTAGCAAACAGTAAATTTATATAAAAAAGACTATATAATTAATATACATGATAACACCGAAGTGGTGACTAACTACAGAATAAAAACGGATACATAAAACAACTAAAACCAGCACATAAAAAATTCACAGCCGATTTAGCCAAAGAGATCAATGCAAAAAAGTGTGACGTCACATTTGAATTTCTGAAATTTCCCCAAAATAGGAAAGACATTCTTAATCATGTGAATTTCTAAAATTAGGGTTCCTTTGGAGTACTTTTTTTTTTATAATATCGTTATTAGGGCCGAATCCATAAGAAAACAGTTTTTTTCTTACGGCCATAATCATGATTCTCTGATTTTACTTTGTTTCTACAACTTTTAATCAAAGGGAAAGTGGCACACTTCAATTGAATTATTAAATCGCTGGTGTTTTCGGTTGTTAGGGTAATCGCATCTTTATTATTCAAAACATTGATTTCAAAGTTTAGTATGAAGTCAATTTTCGCTGACTTAGTGTACATTATTGTTTTGGGGCCAGCTGATGCCCGCCTCCGGGTGCGGGATGTTCTCGCTGTGTTGAAGGTCAATTGGTGGCCTTGGGCTGTTTTCTGCTCTTTGGTCGGGTTGTTGTCTCTTTGAAACATTTCATGTTTCCATTCTCAATTTAATTATTGATTGTTATTTAAAGTAGAGTTGCAAATATTTCATAATTATCAACCAAAAATTTGATTTCAGTCGAATGAACCAACATTTCCACTGCCTTTATAGATAAAGAGTTTTCTGTAAGATAGAAGTAGAATGTGTTGAAAGTGTTTTTCAATGTGAAACGACATGAAATTCACCCAACGTGAAACATGGGATTGGATGCGTGTCTGTGTATTGATATATCCCATGCAGGCAATCATTCTTGTACATTTCGATGCTTTTCGATCATTGCAGTTCATGGATTTGTCTTTTCATAATAATCCTAGTCTCTTACCTCAAGTTTGTACTATCATCAACGTGTTACATTATCATGTAAACTTCTCCAGTTCACGGACCAGAGTACGTGACATTCTATCAGTCTTTCAGTGTTAAAGACAAAAGCGATAAATGTAGTGCAGGACTACATCTAAATTTAAAAGATGAATAGAAAAAAATATTTTTAATGTGCAAAGAACATTCAACGCACACGAAACTTTAATTGGAAATCCGCATTCATGCCAGAAATATCTGCATATTTGTAAATCGTTAGAAAGCTTTTATGGATAATTTGACTGAGTTCATTCCTGGTTTTCAGTGGTTTGGGATGCACAATTTTTAGTTTCGATTCTGTTCCTTTTTTAGACTAGACCGTCGTTTGTATTCTCAACTCGATTCTTCTTCAATTATCCGTACGTGTTTCGATTGACACTTACGTTCCTTCTAGTTCTCCTTATCGTCCAGAATAATCTGAATGTAATGATATAATTCTATTTCATTAAGTATTTATATTCTTTCGTAGTTTCTTCTCAAAAAATCTATAAACATATTAGAAAAGGCTTATTAAAATAATGTTATAAATGTTAATAAATTTACGCTTTTTACAGAACCTAGATGTGGACCTGTTTGTGCTATATCCTGTCCCTTTGGAAATGTTCTTGATGAACACAACTGTCCAACTTGTAGATGCAAAACAGGTAATGATGTTGTGTTGTATAGATTTAAAATGCGAGGTGATATACCAAAAGAAATTAGTCTGATCATATATTTTTTACTACATCAAACTATAATTGGGTACTTTTCATTCCATGCATTCCCATTTGTTAATTAATCTTTGTCCTAACAGTTGTTGAATAATTTGGTGTATTATTATATCTTCTTTCAGAATCAGTTAATACTATCTTTTTTTCACGTGTGTTAACTTTCTCTTCCGTCCCGGTTTCCCCTTCACTCTTTCGCTGTGGTGCAATTGTAGAATATATAACGAGAGGTGTCCTAGTTAAGGAAAGTGTCGTCTAATGAAAGTTCGGAGAGACAATAATTCAATAGCAGTACATTTCATTAAAATGAAAAAAGATTATTGTTTGAAATAAAAGTCTATATACACGCGTAATGTAGTAAAACTTAGTAATTCAAGTATATACAACATAGTCATCTTTTTGTTTAATTTGATTGATCATATGACTTTACGGATTCGTATCCGTAGTTTGGTTATATTTGGAATTTGGATGGAATTTTGCACGCATTGTGACGTCGATAAACTGCACCTGAATATCGATAAATATAAATAAAGATGTTAATCTCTATACAAATTCGTCATTTAGAATTTTGAAATAACAGGTTCTTACTGCTCACACAAGTAATAGGTTCTTACAGCTTAAACAAAAAATAGGTTCTTACTGCTCACACAAATAATAGGTTCTACTGCTCACACAATTTCAATACTTTGTGTACTTTGACTTTATACATTTGTCAGTGTACAAGAAAAATCTCAATAAATGTAAACAGAAATCAAAGTCAAGCCAATTTACCAGCCAATGGTAGAGATTTTGATCCATTGGAAACTCATAGTAACAGAGCAGCTGAGATCAACACTGTTTTTTGCGGAGTTCGTGTTGCGCAGTCTTTAGTTTTCTATGTTGTGTTTTGTGTAATGTTGTTTATCTTTTGATCTTTTTCTTTTTTAACCATGGCGTAGTCGACTTATGAGTTTGAATGTCCCTTTGATATCTTTCGACTCTCTTTCACATTTTGTATATTATTTTAGGATGCAAGGGGAATGTTAAACCATTAGGGTTAATCAGCTGTGGTTCAGGTCAACAAAGATGTCCCGCTCGATATCAATGCAACACTCCTTCAGCAGGCGGCAGTGGAGTATGTTGTCCTTATGGTATGCTTAACAGCGTCCTAGTTCGTCGTTATAGAATCTAATGTATTTTGTGTAATATTTTCAAAAACGTACACCAAAATGTTTTGATTGGTTAAAACCGTCATATTCAATTGATGTAGCATTGTTTTTTTTTTGTTCTGGTGTACAAACAACGAGATGGCCCTTATTTCTTTAGATTCTGAAAAGGCCAATTGCTGTAAACAAAATGTAACATTCACCAAATTACATATATAAATGACGTTTAACTCATAAAAAGAGATTTATGATACATGTTGTTTGTAAATATGAAATATTAGGATGTCGTATAGCTACAAAAGCATAAATAATCAGCATTTACAATAGTGTCCAATACTTGGTACAAAACAATATTTACGATTAACAGATTACAGTGTAAACAATGAAGGTTGGTTTAAAATTGAATAACGTGATATGAAGTGAAGAAATACTGATAAACGATTTTACATCAAATTTTTGTAAAAAAAGGAAATTCAAAAGGAAGCAAACTTTATAAATATATCAAGTGATCACCGACATCTTACAATGTGCACATTTTTGCAGAATGTCCTCTTGTAAGGTGCAGCGAACCATGTCTTTACGGTAACGTGATTGACGTTAATGGCTGTCAAACATGTGAATGTAGTGAGTATAATATATGAAAAATATTAAAAAAAAACGTGTTTGGAAACAGGGTTGAAGTATGTTTACATCTACGTCATTTGGTCTCTGGTTGAAAGTTGTTTCAATTGCATTCATACAAAATCTGCGCCGTGTTTGATGAGTCTTTGTAGACGAAACGTGCGTCTGGCGTTCAAAATGTCAATCCTGGTATCTGCATCTGATGAGTTTTATATATTGTAAGGATTTTTTTTACGTTTTTAGATAGACACGAGATGTCATACGGGAGTTATTGATAAATAGGACTTCATATTAAATCATTCTTAGTCATGTAAATTTCGAAAAGGAGGGTTCTTATGGTGTACTTTTTTTCTGATAATACCTTTATTAGTGCCGAAACCATAAAAAAGAGTTTTATTATTTACGTCCATAAGCACGATTCTCTAATTTGACATTATTTCTACAACTTGTATTAAAAGCGTAAGTGGCACACTTTAATGGAATAATTAAGTCACTTGTGTTTTCAGTGGTTAGGGTATAAGTATCTTCATTATTCAAAACATTGATTTATAATGTTTCCAAGTTTAGGGTGACGTCCAGGTTTGCTGAACTAGTATACATTATTGTTTAGGGGCCAGCTGAAACCCGCATCCGGGTGCGGGATTTTCTCGCTGTGTTGAAGATCAATTAATGGCCTTGTGCTGTTTTCTGCTCTTTGGTCGAGTTGCTGTCTCTTTGCTACATTCCCTGTTTTTATTATTGGTTATTATTTAAGATAGAGATGCAAATATTTCATAATTACCAACCAAAAATTTGATTTCAGTCGAATGAACTAATATTTTCGCACCACTGCCTCTATAGATAAAGAGTTTATGTAAGATAGAAGTGGAATGTGTTGCAAGTGGGTTTTGTTATGTGCAACGACACGAAAGTCACCACACGTGGAACATGAGATTGGATGCGTGTCTGTGTATTTATATACTTAATGGAATCAATCATTCTTTTACATTTCGATGCTCTCCGATCGTTGTAGATCATGGGTTTCTCTTTTAATAATAATCCTAGTGTGGTACCACAAGTTTGTGCTATCATCAACGTGTTACATTATCATTCAAACTTCTCCTATTGACGGGCTAGAGTACATGACATTCTATATATCTTTCAGTGTTAAAGAAAAAAGGATAAATGTAGTGCAGGACTAGATCTAAATTAAACGATAAATAGAAAAAAGTTTTTTTAATGTGCAAAGTACATTCAACCCACACGAGACTTTAATTGGAAATACGCATTCTTGCCAGAAATGTCTGCGTATTTATTAATCTGTTCCTGTTTTAGACTACACTATTGTTTGTACTCTCAACTCGATTCTTCTTCTATCAGTCGTACATGTTTCGATTGACACCTACGTAACTTTAAATTTAACATATTAGAAAAGGCTTTTTAAAATAATGTAATAAATGTTAACACTTAAACGCTTTTTACAGAAACTAGATGTGGACCTGTTTGTGCTATATCCTGTCCCTTTGGAAATGTTCTTGATGAAAACAACTGTCCAACATGTAGATGCAAAACAGGTATCGATGTTCTATTGTATAGATTTAAAATGTGAGATAATATACAAAAAGAAATTAGCCTGATTATATATTTTTTACTACATCAAATTATAACTGGGTACTTTTTGTTCCTTGCATTCGCATTTGTTGATTAATCTTTGTCCTAACAGTTGTTAAATAATGTGGTATATTATTAGTTTTTCTTTCATAATCAGTTAATACTATCTTATTTTCACGTGTGTTAACTTTCTCTTCCGTCACGGATTCCCCTTCGCACTTTCGCTGTGGTGCAATTCTAGAATATATAACGAGAGGTGTCCTGGTTAAGAAAAGTGTCGTCGAATGAGAGTTCGGGGAGACAATAATTCAATTGCAGTACATTTCAGAAGATTTCTTTAAAATAAAAGGATTATCGTTTGAAATGAAAGTCCATATAGTAAAACTAAGTCATTCAAGTATATAAAAAATGTCATCATTTTGTTAAAACTGATTATTCATATGAATTTACGGATTCGTGTTCGTAGGTGGGTAATATTTGGGATTTTGATGGAATTCTGCACGCATTTTGACGTCGATGAACTGCATCTGAATATCGATAAATATACATGTAGCATTTAAATCTCTATACAAAATCGTCATTTAGAATTTTAAAAGAAAAATCTACATAGATGTAGAATAACAACGATGAAGATCAACTGTTGTTTTGAAACACTGTGATCATTTGAAATATTGATTGTTTTTTTTTTAAATAGTTGTTATCTGGCATTTGAATTTAATCCACTCGCTCCCGTTTTTCCACTCGTTTCGTTGGTTGATAACGTTTAGATATTGCCAATTTTTCTGGACTTCCCCTTTTTTGATTTTGCCTTAGAGAATTTTGGCTATTCTTGTTTTATAATAAATAAAAAAAAAAAATCAAAGTCAAGCCAAATGTCCAGCTTGTGGTAGAGATTTTGAATATACGTTATCTATCCATTGGAAACTCATAGTAACATAGTAATACGACGGTCGCCACATGTAAAGCAGGATCTGCTTATCCGTCCAGAGCAGCTGAAATAACCCCCATTTTTTGTTGGGTTCGTGTTGCGCAGTCTTTAGTTTTCTATGTTGTGTTTTGTGTAATATTGTTTATCTTTTGGTCTTTTTCTTTTTTAACCATGACGTAGTCGACTTATGAGTTTGAATGTCCCTTTGGTATCATTTGCCTCTTTTTCACATTTTGTTTTCTATTGTAGGATGCAAGGGGAATGTTAGTCCATTAGGATCAGTCAGCTGTGGTTCAGGTCAACAAAGATGTCCCGATCGATATCAATGCAACACACCTTCAGCAGGCGGCAGTGGAGTTTGTTGTCCTTATGGTATGCTAAACAGCGTCCTAATTCACCGTTGCAGAATCTAATGTATTATGTGTAATATTTTTAAATACGTACACCAAAATGTTTTGATTGGTTGAAAACGTCACATTTAATGGAAATTCAACCAGTGACGTAGCGGTGTTTTCATACTGGTGTACGAACAATGAGATTACCCATAGTTCTTTTGATTCTGAAAAAGCCAACTACTGTAAACCAATTGTAACACTCACCAAATTACATATATAAATGATGTTACACACATAAAAAGAGATTTATGATACATGTTATTTGTAAATATGAAATATGGGGATGTGGTATAGCTGCAAAAGCATGAGACAACTATAAATAATCAGCATTTACAATATTGTCCGATACTAAGTACAAAACAATATATACAATTAAGAGATTACAGTGCAAAAAATGAAGTTTGGTTTAAAATTAAATAACGTGATATGAAGTGAAGTTTTACTGATATACGATTTTACATCAAATTTTGTAAAATAGGGAAATTCAAATGGAAGCAAACTTTATAAACATATCAAGTGATGGACGACATCTTACAATGTGCACATCTTTTTCAGAATGTCCTCTTGTACGGTGCAGCGAACCATGTCCGTACGGTTACGTGATTGACGTTAATGGCTGTCAAACATGTGAATGTAGTGAGTATAATATATGAAAAATATAAAAAAAAGTATATGAATACAGGGTTAAAGTTTGTTAACATCTGCGTCATTTGGTCTCTAGTTGAAAGTTGTCTCATTGGCATACATACAAAATCGGCCCCGTGTTTGATGATTCTTTTTTTAGACGAAACGTGAGTCTGGCGTTCAAAATTTCAATCCTAGTATCTGCATCTGATGAGTTCATTTATATTATAAGGATTTTTGTTACGTTTTTAGATAGGCACGAGATGTCATACGAGAGTTATTAGTACATAGGACTTCATATTAAATCAGTCTTAGTCATGTAAATTTCTAAAACGAGGGATCCTAGGATGTATTTTTTTCTGATAATATCGTTATTAGTGCTGAAATCATAAAAAAGAGTTTTTTTATTTACGTCCTTAAACACGATTCTCTGATTTGATTTTATTTCTACAATTGTAATCAAAGCGCAAGTGGCACACTTTAATTGAATAATTAAGTCGCTCATGTTTTCGGTTGTTAGGGTAAAAGTATCTTCATTATTCAAAACATTAATTTATAATGTTTCGAAGTTTAGTATGACGTCCATTTTCGCTGACGTAGTGAACATTATTGTTTAGGGGTCAGGTGAAGCTCGCCTCCGGGTGCGGGATTTTCTCGCTGTGTTGAAGATCAATTGGTGGCCTTGGGCTGTTTTCTGGCCTTTGGTCGGGTTGTTTTCTCTTTGACACAATCCCTGTTTCCATTCTCAATTTTATTATTGATTGTTATTTAAGGTAGAGCTGAAAATATTTCATCATTACTAACCAAAAATTTGATTTCAGTCGAATGAACTCACATTTCCGCTCCACTGCCTCTATAGATAAAGAGTAAGATAAAAGTAAAATGTGTTGCAAATGTTTTTTTTAATGTGCAATGACATGAAATATACCCCACGTGAAACATGAGATTGGATTCGTGTCTGTGTATTGATATATCCATTGCAATCAATCATTCTTTTACATTTCGATGCTCTTCGATCCTTGTAGTTCATGGATTTGTCTTTTCATAATGATCCCATTGTCTTACCTCATGTTTGTACTATCATCAATGTGTTACATTATCATTCAAACTTCTCCGGGCTAGAGTACGTGACATACTATCTTTCGTTCAGTGTCAAAGTTGATAGAGACAAATGTAGTGCAGGACTATATCTAAATTGAAACGATAAATAGAAGAAGTCAGAAAGATTTGTTCGGGCCCCGGGTTTTCTGAAATTCTTAACAAGTTAAGATATTGCAAGGAGTATGATAGAATAAAAACCACTGTGTATAAGAACAAAGTATAAAATTTAATTTCTATATATATGCATTGATTTGCTTTAGACGTTTAAATAAATACCTACCGGAACAAACTTGAAACATGATTATATGTACATTTTTCAATTGACGCCTACTTTTCTCCTTATCACACAGGATAATCTGATTATCATTATAGCACCTGAGCACCTGAGCACCTGAGATCACCCCCGGTTTTTTGGAGGGGTTCGAGTTGCTCGGTCTTTTGTCTTCCATTTTGTGTTATGTATACTGTTTTTTGTCATTTTGTCTTTTTCTTTTTTTGCCATGACGGTGTCAGTTTATTTTAGACTTATGAGTTTGAATGTCCCTTTCGTATCATTCGCCTCTCTTTTATTATTATTTTTTTAATGTGCAACGACATGAAATATACCCCACGTGAAACATAAGATTGGATGCGTGTCTGTGTATTTATATATCCAATGCAGTCAATCATTCTTTTACATTTCGATGCCCTTCGATCCTTGTAGTTCATGGATTTGTCTTTTCATAATAATCCCATTGTCTTACCTCATGTTTGTACTATCATCAATGTGTTACATTATCATTCAAACTTCTCCGGGCTAGAGAACGTGACATTATATCTTTCTTTCAGTGTCAAAGTTGATAGAGACAAATGTAGTGCAGGACTATATCTAAATTGAAACGATAAATAGAAGAAGTCAGGAAGGTTTGTTCGGGCCCCGGTTTTTCTGAAATTCTTAACAAGTTAAGATATTGCAAGGAGTATGATAGAATAAAAACCACTGTGTATAAGAACAAAGTATAAAATTTAATTTCTATATATATGCATTGATTTGCTTTAGACGTTTAAATAAATACCTACCGGAACAAACTTGAAACATGATTATATGTACATTTTTCAATTGACGCCTACTTTTCTCCTTATCACACAGGATAATCTGATTATCATTATAGCACCTGAGCACCGGAGCACCTGAACACCTGAGATCACCCCCGGTTTTTGGTGGGGTTCGTGTTGCTTGGTCTTTTGTTTTCTATTTTGTGTTATGTATACTGTTTTTTGTCATTTTGTCTTTTTCTTTTTTTGCCATGACGGTCTCAGTTTATTCTAGACTTATGAGTTTGAATGTCCCTTTGGTATCATTCGCCTCTCCTTTATTATAAATTTATATTTCTTCAAGTACTTTAATTATTTCTTCCCTTCTTCTCCAAGTATTTATACCGAATCGGTGCTCTCTTGCTAGCATGTTCGACTCTAGTGGGAAAGGTCATGGGTTCAAACCCCGACCCGGTGAAACCATAGACTTTAAAATTGGTCTTTGCTGCTTCTCTGCTAAGAACGCGATGTTAAGGAGTAAGAGCAAAGACTGGTCTGCTCGGAGTCGGAATAATGTGTCCGGGTAGGGTTACATCTCTTATTGCGGACTGTTACCTTGTGAAATAGTATGTTAAAAATCGGCTCAGAGTGTCGGTCTAGTACAAAGCAGGGTTGATATTTATATTAAATTAAAATGTTCTCGTCCTTCCTAAATATGCTTTTAATTTGCCGCTGGCCGTTAAGCAGCCATTCATCATCATCATCAGCTTACCATCTATAAATATATATAGCACAAATATGTCATTTGTATAAATACATTTGTGTTTTTTACAGAACCGAGATGCCCATCTGTTTGTTTAGTATTCTGTCCATTTGGAAATGTATATGATGAAAAAAACTGTCCAACTTGTGAATGCAAAACAGGTAATAATGGTTTGTTGTAGTTTTTAAATAAAAAATGCATTACCAAATGAAATGAACCTTATTAGTATAATTGAGAATGGAAATGGGGAATGTGTCAAAAAGACAACAACCCACCAGTGGGTCTTCAACACAGCGAGAAAATCCCGCACCCGGAAGCGGGCTTCAGATGGTCCCTAAACAAACAGGTGTACTAGTTCAATGAAAATGGACGTCACACTAAACTCCAAAACATATAAATGAACTAAAATTAAAAACATACAAGACCAACAAAGGCCAGAGGCTCCTGACTTGGGACAGGCGCATAAATGCGGTGGGGTTAAACATGTTTTGTGAGATTTCAACCCTCCCCCTATATCTCTAGCCAATGTAGAATAAACAAACACACAGCAATACGCACAGTAAAACTCAGTTTAAAAAAAGTCCGAGTCCGATGTCAGAATAGGTAACAAAAGGAACTAAGCAAAATGACAATGATACATAAATTAACAAAGGACTACTAGCAGTTACTGACATGCCAGCTCCAGACCTCAATTAAATTGATTGAAAGATTATGTCTTCATCATATGAAAATCATGCACAATCCCTCCCGTTAAGGGTTTAGTATCATACCATCATAAAATATATGAGAACATAACCCGTATCATGCCAACAACTGGTTTTAGAATAAATGTGTTTATTTCCGATGCAAAGACCTTATGAGTGAATCAATATTAATACCAAAATATGCCATCTTAAATGACTTGACAATAGGTATGTGTTTAACTTATATGTAATAAGAGAAACTCATTTCATGAACCGGATATATATGGTTATAATAAATAGGTAGTGACAGAAACAAATGCTCAAGAAACAATAGACAAAAAAAAAAATGAGGTCTTTACCATTTGTCAAACTCCTCTTCAAGATTCTCATTATTCCTGACTATAGAAGAAACTGTTAATAATTAAACGAAAACTTTTTGAAGATTTGATACAGTTGTCTACATTGCAACAATTATAAACCAATAAAAACAAATAAAAACGAAATATGTAACACGTGACGACAGTAAAGTGATTATTTTCATCGATCCAAGGAATAACAATTTATTCAAATTTGTTCAGATTTTTTTTTTTACACACAAATCACAATTCTGAATATTCCAGTCTTTACAGAAAGCAAGCTGAAATTTATCATCCAAGATATATATATATATATAAGTACGTCTTAACAAGTGACAACTCTACGACAGATCCATCCATTGGATACACGGCTGAAAACACATATTATATTCATAATTACTCTAACTATCAGCACAACAATGTTAAATCTGCAAATTTTTGTTCTTCCCTCGCCGGGATTCGAACCCATGCATGGTTCCCTATGTTAACTGGTAATATGACACAAAACTAACTAAATCATGGTTTGAACGATCCCGGACGAATAGTTCCGACATGAACAATAAACATTTAAAACTAGACCCGTTACATCATGATACCATAGGTGGTAAACATATTTTTTATGAAATGGATGACAGATGGGCATGATGTACATTCAACAAACCAAATTCATGTGAAATCATCCAATGGAATATCTCTTTAAGAAAAAAGTTATACTTAATTTCAGGTCTGTTTTTTTTTAAACTTATATCCTTCACATTCATGGATTCATTCTTTTTTTAGGATGTGCAGGTAATGTTAAACCATTGCCATCAATCAACTGTGGTTCAGGTCAACAAAGATGTCCCGCTCGATATCAATGTAATACTCCTCCTACAGATGGTGATGGAGTGTGCTGTCCTTATGGTAAGCTCTTAGTAAGGCCGTTAGTTTTCCCCTTTGAATTGTTTTTCATTTATCATTTCGGGGCCTTTTATAGCTGACTATGCGGTATTGGTTTGCTCTTTGTTGAAGGCCGTATACCACATCTTCTTATTTTTACATCTACCTTGTCTTAAAAAATTCTAACCAAACATTCACCAAATTATATATACTGTT